ATGTATGTACTGTATGTATGTATGTATGTATGTATGTATGTATGTATGTATGTATGTATGTATGTATGTATGTATGTATGTATGTATGTATGTATGTATGTATGTATGTATGTATGTATGTATGTATGTATGTATGTATGTATGTATGTATGTATGTATGTGTGTATATGTATATGTATATGTATATGTATATGTATATGTATATGTATATGTATATGTATATGTATATGTATATGTATATGTATATGTATATGTATATGTATATGTATATGTATGTGTTGATGTTTATGTTTATGTTTATGTTTATGTTGATGTTGATGTTGATGTTGATGTTGATGTTGATGTTGATGTTGATGTTGATGTTTATGTTTATGTCTATGTTTATGTATATATAGATATATAGATATATAGATATAGATAGATAGATAGACAGATAGATAGATATAAATAAGTATGCATGTACGTTGGTGTGCGTGTTTTCTGGAAAGTATTGTGGTGGTGTGCTGATAATTGGCAGTCCTTGCTAACGAATATGAACGCGAGTGTATGTTTTGTGTATATTTTCTGGTATTCTAGTATTCAACTGGTCAATAGGAGTTTAAGGTTCTACAATCGAAGAGAAGTATACCTGTTTATCTACTTTATGAGTTCCTTCGTGGGGTATTAAAATGAACTGAAGATTTTCCAAAGCGTGGTCAGATGTTGTAAGTGGCCGTCTCTTTTTTACCACACGGAAAGGGTTGCCTATCAATTGCTCGTAAACTCAATGTGAGGTCCTACATATTGTGATACATCAGTTGCGTTAGTATATGTTACGTCGAGGTTTGTATTAGTTGCGTTAGTATAAGTTACGTCGAGGTTTGCATTAGTTGCGTTAGTGTGGTGAAAATCCGCGTTACTAACACGCTGTTTCCGCTGCGTTTCCACGCAGCAATTTATGATCATGGTACACGATCACCACACGCGAGACGGTGCCGAGCCTAGGGCATCCGTGAAAGGGGGTATGTTCATTCCATGTAATGTGTGGTTGTTCTATACCTATACTTTTCATTTAGTTGGTGTATGTGAAAGGGGGTATGTTAATTCAATGTGTGGTTGTTCCATACCTATACTTTCAATCTAGTTAGTACCTGTGACAGGGGGTATGTTCATTCAATGTGTCTGTGTTAGTGAGTTTATCTATACTTGGGAAACTAGTTGTGTGTATACTAGCCCCTGATTGCGTGTCGTGTGGATGCTAAGGTATGTTTAGAGTTGTTGAATACACTAGGTTGTGATAGTCCGGTGTAGTCAAACCGATTAGCTGGTCTCCACTGAAAGTGGTTTTTGCACGTGTGTGCAGAAGAGTTTGTACAGTCGCAAGGATCAATAATTATGTCACTCCTCAATCCCTTCGAGGACAGAAAGTTTCTGATCACTTCCGGCATTTTCCTGTCCACAACATATTCCTGTACTTAAATCTTTCTGTATGGACTTGGGCATAATAATATTGCTACATATATCTCTACATAGATACGCGCTTGATAACGTCTGCTATCTATGTCGCTATATTGTTATCTGCATAAAACGATCACTACTTAGATGTCTACATACATATGCATTTCAAAAGGACCACTGTATGTTTGTCGAAATTGTCATGCTTCCAGAATGATCACCCCTCACATATACACTTCAAGTCGCTCTAAAACGATCCCTAGCCTAAGCTTTCATCTGTTTTATCTTTCTGCACCACTTGTAGGACTACGAATGACCGAGCTCGCCATCAAAGCGCCGATGGACTCGAAACTGTTGCGGTCGTGGGACTCACAGATAACCGCAGACCAAAGGCAAACGACAATCAAGCAGAACACAGCCCTACTTAACAGGGTGCTGCTCAGAAACCAAATCAGGGTCACTGTCAAGAAGTATGTCTTGGATACACTTTTTAATTTAATTTGTGCGTGTGTGTGTGTTGTGTGGAGTTTCTGAATACATGTCTACGTTAAAATGTATAGCTGGGTATGCTATTAAGTAGAGCTACAGGTGTGTTTGCGGTAGTTCGGAGCATATGTACAAACCGATTGTTTGTGCTATGAGTATTTATGATTTGCTCGACATTTGTAAGTATGTGTAGATATATCTGCGTTTCGTTTTAATATATGTACAGATATATTTGCGCTTCAGAGTCTAAACGGCCTTAAGAACATGGTGCTGGCGGAGGTTTTACTTCCCCTGAAAAGCAATCATATGTATGTGCATACTTGGAGCGTCACGAAACAACACTATTGCATCGATGTAGCCACATTATTGTGGCCAGAATCTCGTCCGTGTGTCCGTCCCACAGGCAGATAGTCTAGTTCATTGTCGCTGTGAGTTGCAGGCTATGTGTCGCACACAGTACCTACGCAAAGAAACAGTCCAATAGGCGCGTATGGATAACTAACATTCTACTATTATGCACACACGCAGACTGCCACAGGCGTTTCTTACACTTACACGGTAATCAGCGAGAATGTATAGACATGATATGCTCACCGTACCGTATTACATGGTACACTATTCTTATATCTACTTGCATATTTTCACATCGTATGCTCAGTCGCGCGCAGCTGAAGGATCTGTTCAGGATCGAGCCAATGCTGGAGAACAAGAAGCTTACACCCGCGCAAGCGGATTCCATTGTGGGGTGGGCCATATCACATCACCTGCGAATGACCGCAGAAGCCGCTAATCCACTGTCCTCTAAGGCCGCTACGCCCGAGGCGATCGAGGATACTCCCGTTGCCTTGGCAACGGAGGGGGGTATAAATTGTACAGACGCGGCTAGTGGCGAGAAGAGTAAAGATAGTACGGATGCGGATTATAAGGTTGCGGAAGTAACTGGGAAGGAACGGGAGACTGAAGGGGCCAGGAAAACGACCAGTAAGAAGAAGGGTGTCCGGAGTAGCAAGCGCAAGACGGCGGCGAAGAGCGATGATGGCGGCACGACAGACAGTAAGAAGACCAAGGTGAGTAAGAGCGTGTGAGAGCGTATGTGTGTGTTTGTAAGGATCTACATATGAGTGCTTATGTGTGTGTTTGTAGGAAATGTGCATATATATATATATAAGTATATCTATATATATATGTGTGTGTGTGTGTGTGTGTGCACGTGTGTGCACGTGTGTAGAAAATTACAGTATCGTGTTATTTTTCTACTTGGAGTGGTATGCATGGGCATAACGAGAATTTCATGTGTTTGAAACGAAACAGTTGGGGAATACTTCATACGACAGAAGCGGAGCTCGTTTATAGTTGCATGTGTGTGTATATCTCTGTTTTTAACCTCCAGCTCAGCTTACACGTGAACGATTTCAGAACCATAAATACACGAGATTGAATGGCTATGTCCATATAAGTATTTACTCAAGCAAACCATTTACAAGGTTATGGTTGAGTGTATACTTGTATGTGCCTTGAGCTATATGTCGTTTTCAACAACTATACCGAAGCTCTCGTTCCAACACTTACACACCTGTGTATACACCAGACATACGACTATCTAACTTCATCTCTGATCCGCGATCCAGATTACAAAGACTAAGGGCAAGAGCAAGGCCGTGCAGGGCTCGGCAAAATCGGAATCAAAGCAAAAAGCCGTAGCAGTCATCAGCACCAAGAAGTCAGACACCATCCTGAAGCTTACCCTTCCAGGTATGGACTTACTATTCGTGATGAAAGAAAGTTGGGTCCCTATAATCGGATCGTACCGATGAGTTGTTGTTGTTTTTGCGTCACTACATATTGTCTACATTTCATCTTCAATACTAATTTTTAATGCAATTCGAATATTTTACCTTGATTTCAACAGCTCTGCAACACGCCATCCTGATGTTTGGCGCCTTCAGCGAAGCCAAGAGCGGAGACAACAAGTTTGTGGATTCGATCAAACCCGAAAACGAATACGAGGAGAAACTCCTGGCTAGTGTCATCCCCGCCGACAAAATCGGGGTGTCGTTCGATGATATTGGGGCGCTAGAGAAGGTCAAGAAGACCCTTTTCGAGCTGGTTATCTTGCCTCTCAGACGGCCCGAATTGTTCACGCGAGGTAACTTGACTAAACCTATGAAGGGTATCCTCCTGTTTGGCCCTCCTGGTACTGGAAAGACACTGTTGGCCAAAGCGGTGGCCACGCAATCGGGTGCCAACTTCCTCAATATTACGGTGTCGGGCATAACATCCAAGTGGATGGGTGAGGGAGAGAAATTTGCTAAGGTGTGTATATACATATACACATATACACACACATATA